GCAGGCTTAGGCTATTCTGGAAAAGCACCAGACACCGGTGTTTCGACCTTCTGGGTCTCGGCAGTCGTGCGCCTTCTGTCAACTCTCTAGCACATAGGTCCGTGGCTGACTCCCATAGCGAAGTGACACTAGCTGCAGGCATTTTGTGGCCATGTGGGCGGAACTCGGCAGCAGTCCGCTGGGAGGCTCACCAATGACGAGACTTGAAAGGTCAAAAATGCCGGCTTTCGGTGCTTTCCAGAATAGCCCAAATCTGCTGATTGGGAGTGACAATGATGAATTAGCTATATTACACCAAAATCCTCACTACCACTCATCAGTAAATGGATAACGGTCTAGCTTCCGATTGTCGGGTCACGATCGGACATGTTAGCGTCTCACATTTACCCATTACCTGCACTTCCTTCTCCAACTACACCCCCAGCAGAAGAATAAACTACAGGTGGATGTCACCTAATACGGTGTGCACCAAGTTACCAGTTCCTGTAGGGCAACTTACTGAAATCCACCATGAGACGTTTGTCCTAACAGGTCTTGAGCATCACCCAGCGTGGTCAAACAATTGCTTGAACAACAGTCGCACATCTAGTCCGAAAATTATCCCGATCTACCGTATGGGGATGTTGATTCCAAACTTACCAGCTATGCAAATATTGCATTGGCGAAGGCAATCACGATTCTTCTCAATAAATCCCGTTGTGTATGCACAAGCTGTTTGTCAAGGCTTTGGCTTCACCATGACCAGCTGCCGTCCGGGCAGCTTCCATTTGAACAAATCACACCCATTGTGATCAATTTAGCATCTTTATTTAGAATTACTCAATCCACCCTATCGCTTCTTGACTGATTAATGGTGATGTATTTGATCTGAAGAGGAATCACAGAAAATCGTTTGTTTACTGAGTACCCTTGTTAATGAAACACGAATTATTCAGATGATCAGGTCCTCAACAATTCTCGCTCCAGCGTCCAAAATATGCGGGGACTCATTTTGTTTCAACTCAATGATAGACCAGCTGACATCCGGATTTGATGGTTTCTAGTTTGGAAAAAGTTGAAGAAGCCTCTTCGAAATGAGCCAACTATTACTTTAACCACCCTCGACCATAAGAAATATATCTTTCTCGGCGTCGGTTTAGTTTTCTGCTAAACTTGAGACAAGTGGTAACCAAACTGTGGATGGCTAAATGATGGAGATACTCGTTGGCCATCGCATTTCGCAATCGCACGCTACGTTAGTGTTTTATGACACATGCACACGTTAATCGCTCTGCTGCCTTGCTGGTCTGGTGTTTAATACCAATGGCTCCTGGTGGGATCCCTTGAGTCAACCCTCATCCTCGTTTTAGGCAACCAGTAGCTCTTTGCCTGTACAACACATGAATCTTCCCATCCATTCCCCTGACTGCCTCATCTCCCCATTTTTGCTGGTACTCACGTGTGGTGGCACTTAGCTAAATTTGAAACAGTTAGTTTGCTTTAGTAATTTGAAAAGCGCAGTGAGAAGACGAAGACTGGCAAATGCATGCATTTCGTATTGTCTCATCAGTGCCTTTAACAACGACTCACAAGAAGAGTAGTACGGGGAGTTGAATGTTATAGGTAGGAATTCGTCACATCTAGACTCACTCAGAAAGCCACCATATGCCCGGAAGAGCACTGTACGCGCGTTTCATCCTTTCGGGAATCGTCAGCAGTGCGCATTCCATCGGACCGCGATAGGGCTCGAACCCGCAACTCGACTGTTGCCAGTCCGTACTTGAGACCACTAAGTTACGGGGGACGGAACGACCATCGTGAATAAGTTACTAGATGTGATATACCACCGCTCACTATCCACTGACTTACACGTTACTGCCGTGCAGAGGACAGGGTAGCCGCTTCACCAAGTGACGAGCATAACAAAATTAAGCCGCCAATTAACTTATGGCATTATAAGCAGTTTGGTCTGCGTACTGATTACAGGGAGTAGTAGGGGGAGTTAAATGTTATAGGTAGAAATTCGTGGGCCGCGCTATAGCACATCTAGTGACTTATTCACGATGGTAGTTGTCGTCCCCCGTAGCTCGGTTGTCTCAACCACGGACTGGCAACAGTCGAGTTGCGGGTTCGATCCCTACCAAGGGTCTGGTGGAATGCGCACTGCTGATGATTCCCGAAAGGATGAAACGCGCGTACAGTGCTTTTTCGGGCGAATGGCGGCTTTCTGAGTGAGTCTAGATGTGATGAATTTCTACCTATAATATTTATTTAGTGAAGGGTGCGACCAAACATGCATGCAAACAGACAAACAGACCAACACATGATAACTGAGACAGGGTTATCACCCCTATCCCCAGAACAGTGTAATGGTGACCGATAATTGTTTCTGAACACAAAGCATCGGCTTAATCCGGTTGATTGCAATCGCCTCTGGGAAACGCAGGAGGCGAGAATTGATGTGCTGTAATAGGATTGTGAACGTCGAATTGACCTCGACTCAGTGACCTTTGGTCAATAAGTGTCGACCGATCGAAGAGGCTGGTGGATTTCGCAGACAAGCATCTGGACTCTGGCCAGTTTCCTGCGCGGTCGAGCGTTAAACCTACTTAGGTATATGCTTCTTCATTCGGGAACTCAATGTTCTATGGTTCCTGCCTATGTAACTGACGCCGCAGTCATAAATGAATTGGTAAATGTAGTGCGATTTGGCCCAGATAGACGGCGCCTGCTTTACAGAAGGAAGTGACAGTTTTGGGTTTTGTTAATGACAACGACCTTGGCGGCATGGCAAAAAGAGATGTCTCTGGCTGGATATGGCGACGGGACGCGGCGACTGTTTGAGGGGTGGGGGTGGCCGCTGATACCTTAGATGGGTTCCCCCATAACGCCAGTAAACATATCGGGCTGCGTTCCAGGCCGCGAGTGAGAGGTTGGGGGGCGGATCGAGGTAGTCGCTGGTATGCTGTAGGGACTGGCACGGCGGGGGTTGGCTGAAGAGGGTTCATGGAGCAGGCAGTCGGGGATGTTCGGCAGGAGTCGGAGTGTGTGCAGCTCGAGTAGGGGATGCGAACGCGAGCTGGTCAGTTCGTGGTGACGCTTTGTCAACCATATGTCAGGAGTTTGGGGGTTTTAGGCTGGCTAATGTTCACTTCGCCAGTTGCTTCTCCTTTAACTTTATCACGTGATCTTCCAGAAAAGTATAATCTCTTGTATAATACATCTGTCCATTGTGTATTTAAACACCGATGCCGGTCGTCCAGATGATTAGCATCTCGTTCGCGTACGGGACCAGGTTATAGCCAGTAGCTCGTCTATTATGGGGACGTGGATATTAAAATCAACTCGCATTGCGAACAACTCTTGGCAGCAGTCATGCGGGTCTGTAGACCGACCAGTGTGCTGTGGGGGCACGATAGGGACTGGCGGGGCCACCTAGGCGGGTGCCCCTGGGGCTGTGGTGCGGGGGGATGTGGCCCATCGTTAGGGGCATCGCAACCCTGTGGGGTGATGGACGACTCTGGAGACTCTGTTGGGCTTCTGCTGCTGTGTGGCTGGGAAACTGAGGCGAGGCTGCTTGGGGCGGGTGTGGACAGGATGGTCGGGGCTGACGACTGCGGGTGGGAAGCGCGCTGGATACTGGGACTGGGCTGCTGCGGCGGGGTGGCTGGACTGGGACTGTGGAACTGGGTGGAGGGGGTGCTGGGGTGACTGGTGGGTGGGACAGGGGCTGCGCTCGGGGGCGGGGCGGGGCTGGGGGGCTGAGATGAGGACTGGTGAGCTGGCTGGGAGGGTGTGGGCGTGGACTGGGACTAACTGGGCCAGCTGGGTCTGGCTGGGGGGGTGGTCACTCTGCTTGGGACTCCTGGCTGGGCTGACTGGGCTCGGCTGAGGGGAGGGGCTGAGGGCGGGGGTGCTGGCTGGGGCGTCTGGGGGACTGCCTAGGGGACTGGGACAGGCTGAGGAGGCTGCGCTAGCCGTTGGCTGGGGTGGACCTGGGACTCTCGGGGCCTGCGGGGAGTGGGTCTGGCTTGCGAACAGCTGGGGGCGGGGGGTCACTCTCTTGTGTCCTGGGTAGCTGACTGACCTGACTGCGCTGTGTTGGCGTTGACTCTGGGCTGGGCTGGGGCTGCTGAGCTGCTCTTGGGAATCGTGCTAGGGGGGCGATGTGGAGTGGGGGGGTGTTGTGTCTGGGAGGGCACTGGGGAGGGGGGCTGTGACTCGGCTGATGTGAGCTGGGCTGGCGTGACTGTGCGTGCTGACTGAGGCAGACTGGATGGCTGCTTGACTCACTGGGCTTGCGCCGGTCTGCTGGGGACTGATGTCGAGGCCTGGAGCTGATGCGGTGCTGCGGGGACCTGTCTGAGTGTGACTGTACACCTAGCGGGCGGCTGGCTGGCGGGGCTACTGTCTGCTGCTGCGGGCTAATTGGCGCTGGGGGGTCTGGGCTGCTGTCTGACTGTCTGGGATGACTGGACAGGACTGTGGCTGTCTGGGACTGACTGGACTGACTGTTAGCGTGCGTGGTGAGGTGGGGGTTGGCAGCGAGCTGGGACTGATCTGGCCAGAGGTGCTGGGTTGGGCGGGGGGGGGCTGAGGGGGTGTGCGAACTGGTTGGGGTAGTGGGGGGAGGCTGCGCCTGGGCTCGGGCTGACTGCGGCGGCTGCCACTGACTTGCAGCTGTGGCTGCTCCCTAGGACTGCTGCCTTGAAGGCTTGCTTGGCCAGCTGAGCGCTCGTGCACTTGCTCGGCTTGCTGCTGGTGAGTCGGGACTCTGGGACTTGCGGGGGTGGCTGTGCTGGGCGGGTGTCCTGCGAGGGGCTGCCTGCGGGGTACTCTGGTGGCTGGAGCTGGCTGCTGGTGTAACGACTGCTGGTAGTCTGGGACTGCTGTGGTGGGGGTGAGTAGGCTCCGCTGGGCTGTGGGCGCACGGCTGGCTGGTGATGGGCTGAACTGACTGGGCTACTGGGTTGCCTCGGGTTGGGGCGCTGACGGAGCACGTGGCCTCTCTGCCTCGCGGCATGAGTCTGCCTGGACTGCTCGGACTGGAGTCTGCGGGGTGGGTATCTGGACGGCGTGTCCTGGGGGCTGACTGCTGCCTGGCTTGGGCGTGGGACGGACAGGGTGGCGCTAGGGTGGTGGCTCGGGGGGGGGGGACTGCTTGGCGGGGACTTTCGGCGGCTGGGCTGACTCTCGCTGGGCTGCTGAGTTTCTCGCTGGGACTAGACTCTGGGCTGGAGCGCACTGTGCTGGCTGTGGTAACTGGGGGGCGGGGCTGCTGGGGTGGCCTTTTTTAGTGGCGGAGTCGGGGAGAGGTGGGCCGTGACTGGTGAGGTGCAGCTGTGGGGTCACTACTGTGGGGCTCGTGCTATGGACTCGGGGTGACACTGGGCTAGCCAATGCTGGGGGGCCGCGGTGGACTGAGGTCAAGCGTGGACATGGCTCCTTGGCTGGGGGCTCGTCTCTGTCTCTATTGAGATGGGGAGCTAGGCCTGCTGGGTCGGGACTGACTCGGTTCCTGGGGCTCACTACAGTAGGGGGGGACTGGCTACTGCTGGCTACTCGCCTGTGGCAACTGGGCTGCGGAGCTGGTGTGCTGTGGGGAACTTGGGGGGGGGGACTGGGAGCTCGCCAGGTAGGGGATTCTACTGGGGGGCTGAGGACTTGGCTGACTCTCCCTCGGTGCTTACGTGCTGCGTGACTGGCTGCGGCTCGCAGTGGGTCCTCTGACTGCTGTGTGACTGGGGCATGCTGCGAGACTGGTGTGGGGGGGCGTCGGTGGGCTCGGCTAGGGGGTTGCACTGTCGGGTGGCCTACTGGGCTGTGGAGGGACGGACTGCTGCTAGGGAGACAGTGGCTGGGGGACTAGCTCGCCCTGCGAGGGCGGGTGCCTCGGGTTACTGGCACTGGTCTTGCTCTGTGTGTCGCGTGGCACTGGTTCAGGGGGGGGGGCGAGAGCTATTGTACACTCTACCCTACAGGGCAAGAGTGATGTCGCGCCGGCGCCATAAGTGGCGAAGAATAGCACAAGCGCCCCGAGCTTTCGCCATACGGTTCGTGATCTCAGCTTCAATCCCACGGGCGCTGATACAACTTCCCAGGTAGTTGAATTTTTGAACGACTTCTAGCTGATCCCCACCAAGGGTCAGCGTAGGAGGCGGTCCATATCAATCTTGGAGAAACATTTTGCACTTCGAGGGTGCGAAGCAAAGCCCGAAGTGACGGACAGCTAGTGCTAATCTGTCCAGTGCCGTTTGGCACGTTTGTGAGCTGTCACAGATGAGGGCAATATCATCAGCATACTCTAAATCAAGAAGTCATTCTCCTGGGAGTAGCTCCACACCTTCTAAGTCGTGTCCTGTAAACGCGATTTCCATGACTTCGTCAACAGCGAAGTTGAAGAGGAAAGGTGACAGCGGGCATCCTTGTCTCACGCCGCTGGAGATATTAAAGGGCGACGACAACTTGCAGTAAGCACTCACTCTGCCCGAGCTACGCGCATATAATGCTCGGATAATATTCACATATTTCTCAGGTACACCTTTCTTGAGTAGACAGTCCCAAAGTGCATATCTATCCACCGAATCGAAGGCACTTTGATGTAGAGGAACACGACAACGGTGGGCCGCCAATATATGTGACGGTGCTCCAACAACTGACGCAAGGTGAAGATGTGGTCAATGCAGCTACGACCTCGACGAAATCCAGCTTGCTCTTCACGAATCTGGCTTTCACGAGTGCCAGTCAGTCTGTGAAGGATGACAGACGCAAGCAATGTAGAGGCAATCGAAATCAGACTGATTCCTCTATGGCTGCCGCATTCCGATCGTGAGCCTCCTTTGAAAATTGGGACTATGATGGAGCGGCTCCAATCGGTTGGGACAGTTTCCTGCTCCCACAGTTTGACTAGTAACTCGTGTAAATCATCCACAAGAGCAGGTCCCCCGAATTTGAAGAGGGCTGGAGGAAGGTCATCAGGTCCCGCGGCTTTATTTAACTTCAAAAGTTTGATCTCATGTTCGACTTCTGAGCGAGAGGGTGGATCCAAAGGAACAGCCCGAGGAGCAGGGCGATCACTGGTGGGCGAGAAATCTAACAATTCCGACCGATTAAATTGCCTTTCAAAGTGCTCAGCCCAACGTTCCAGGCGTTTTGATAAGTTGTGAATACGCTATCCACTCTCGTCACGTATAGTTTCACTAACACCAGGTCTCCTGCTGCCCGTTTCCCGTATAAGACGGAATAACTCACGATGGTTACCAAGGGCAGCGACCATTTCCATATCTGTTGCACGACGAGACCACCAGGATTCGCGGTCTCTCTTCAGGCTAGCACGGAGTTTTGCCCGGAGCTCTTTGCGAGTTTCATTGTGTTCGCTTCCAGCCAGAATATGCCGGCGAGCATCTATAAGTTCCAGAGACTGCGAAGAGACCCAATGTTCATGTTGGCGATTAGACATACCACATGAGGATTTGCCTGCCACTAGTAAGGCCTGTTGCATATGAGACCAGTGAGCTTCAATTGCATTCAGTGAGCGTTTATCCAACTCGGATGACAGCGTAATTTGATAGGGGTTCAGAACAGCTGGCTTCACCAGTCTGCCGGTGTCAATGCGCTCACAACATCGTCGCGGGCGTCCGCCAAAGCGCATCCGCAGGTCAGCATATACAAGTGCATGATCGGTGTCAACACCTGTGCTCCAAATCGAGCGACAGTTCTGGACCCAGCCTCTCCAGCGGTAACTGATAGTAATGTGATCGATTTGCGTCCATAGCTGGTTCGAGGCTGGTGGGCGCCAAGTCACCCTCCGGCGGGTGCTGTGTCCGAAATTAGTGCTCGCAAGAAATAAGCCAGCATCCTCACACAAATGAAGTAACCGCTCACCGTTATCATTACGGGAGCCTATACCATGTTGGCCGCCAAGATGCAGCTCATCTGTGGACAATTTTCCAACCTGAGCGTTCAGATCCCCAGCCAGCACAACAGTGTCCGAGCTTCTTCTGTGGCGAGGGAGTTCGTTCAGTTGGCGATAGAAGTCGTCTTTTACCGAGTCATCGCTACAGTTTGTCGGTGCATAGGCAGCGATAACGAATAGAAACCTGTTAGTCCCACGCGACTTCGAAGTTTTGAACGAGCAAGCCAATCGGACCGCACACATCCGGCTACCGATTGGAATCCAATCAACCAGAGCAGCTTCAGCCCGGGGACTCAGGGCAATACCAACACCGGCTTGACCGGTGCTCGAAGCTGCATCCTCACCGGATAGGCGCAATGAGAAAGTGCTGCTAGTGGCACCTGAAGGGGATCGCAGAGTGAGTACAGAGCTCGAGTCTTGCAGGCGGGTCTCCGATAAGCAGCAGATATCGATCGAGAGGGTCTCCAATGTTCGGGCAAGTGCTGCCTGTTGACCGATCTGAAGCAATGTGCGAACATTGAGGCATGCCTGCGTATCGTAAATTTTCGCACAGTTGCCCGGATACCCCGAATCCGGGTAAACAGAGCAATGACGCTTCAAGCTCGCCCAGCGGTTCCTACCGCGGATTGCGTGTAGCGTTCATTAATGTATGCAGCTTAATGAACAAGCACGATGATCTGATCCGCTTCATTGCTTCACGTCGGCCAGATGTGGTTGGTTTGGCTGAGACGTGGTTGACATCTGAAGTGACAAGCGAAGAAATTGCGATCACGGACTATTCGTGCTTCCGCTGTGATCGACAGTCGAATAGCCGCGGTGGCGTCCTACTTTACCTCCGGTCTACCCTGTGCGGGAGACTCGTGAGCACCTACCGAAGCATTGACGGTCTATGTGAGCAGCTGTGGTATTCGATCCACCTACGACGCGGCGAACTGCTTGTGGGTGTGGCATATCGTAGCCCACTGAGTAACGGATTGGATTGGCTCACACACGTCCAAAACCAAATGAGTCGCCCACAGTTCCTGCTCACTGGCGACTTTAACCTTCCTCGAATCTTATGGCCTGAAGTTCAGCTTCTCCCTGGCCATAATGAAGTGGAGACAAGATTCGCCGAACTGGTACTGGAAACCGGAGCGGTGCAGCACATCACGCAACCCACCCGCATAACCCCGCGCTCAATGCCATCATGCCTGGACCTGCTGCTAACCAGCTGCGAACAAACAGTGCATGACATAGAAGTTCTTGAGCCCATGGCAGCCAGTGATCACTCGACAATTATGGCCACTATAGACCTGCAGCTTCCATGTGTGCGTCCAGTGGCGCCAACATACAACTATTGGAAAGCTGACTTCGATGGCCTCCTTCTAGCTGCCAATCAGCTTGATTGGTCTATGCCACAGGATTCATCCGTTGAAACTTGCTGGACAAACATTAAAGGGGCAGTGCACTCATTGTGTGCGCAATTTGTACCCCTCAAGACTCGGAAAGTTGGACCAATGAAACCCCATTGGTTTGACAAAGAGTATAACCGACTGTCTCGACAACGACGTCGACTATGGAATGCGTTCCTCCTGTCTGGCTCTGCCGATGACTATGAGGCATACAAGCGACAACGAAACTTGTGCAACAGCACAAAGACGCGAAAACGCCGTCAGTTTGAGGAGCAGCTTGCTTGCTCAGCTAAAACTGCCCCGAAGCGCATATTTGCGTACGTGAAGCGACGCCTGAAGTCTGCAGGTAATGTGCCGGTGCTAGTGGGTTCGAACGGACAACCACTAAGTTCAAGCACCGAGCGTGCGTCCGCATTAGCGGCGCACTTCGCTTCTGTATTCGCAACTAACCAAACCTGCGCGCCAAGCTCTGCCGTCGCCGCACCGACTGAGCTAACCGACTTGATCTGCGACGTCGCGGAGGTACATGGGCTAGTCAGCTGCCTAGACAGCACGAAGCCAGCTGGACCGGATGGTCTCCATCCGCTGATCCTCAAGTCCTTGTCAGCTGTGATCTCACCTGCCGTAACCGACCTGTTCAACCGATCCCTGTCCGTAGGCTGCGTGCCTTGTGACTGGAAATGCGCCGTTGTCAAACCGATTCCAAAAGGCGGTGACACACGCAAAGTGGAGAATTACCGCCCTATTTGTTTGACCGCAGTATTGTCGAAAGTTCTGGAGAAGATTGTGAAGAAGAGACTGCTCCAGCTACTGGAGACCAACTCTCTCCTGACGCCTGCACAGCATGGTTTCGTGAGAGGCCGCTCGTGCATCACTAACCTGCTGCTAACATGGCATGAATGGTTGCAAGCAGTAAACCAACGTAAGTCAGTCGACGTGGTATACGTCGATTTCAGTAAGGCCTTCGACAGAGTGAATCACGAGATCCTCC